AGGTGAAGAATAATAATGTTTGTCAACTCGCCTTGTTTTCGGGACACACCACCACCCACAACTAAACTTATAAACTAAATTCACCTCATGCATACAAATAAACACCAAGCTCCTTGGTCTGCTCCATACATGTTGTAGTTCGAAAATGAAGGGATAATTAATGTGGAAACTCCCATTAAATTGGTGATTATTACTGGAAGAACAAAATCCTGAGGGATGGAGAAAATGAGAGGAAACGACGCCTCAACTTTTTTTATTGTTTGCCTTATCTTAAAAACTCTTTATTTTGGGTTTGTTTAGTCGGACAGAAGATTAGTTAAATAGTGTTTAAAAGCATAACTACCACTTTTGATTTTATCTTTCACAAGGGGACAGAAGAGGAACAAAGTCATTAAACTTACTGCGTTAGACCTTTCTATCTGCAAATCTTCCTTTCTTACAAAGAGTACGCGTACAGTCATAACTTTTTGAATATTTGAAATGTAAAAGCGCTGAATGTACATCTCCTTATTTGTGCTAAACTTTTAAGAAAATTGTCCAGTCCAGTTTTGTGTTTACATATTTTTTAGCAAACTCCGTTCATATAATTTCTGGTCTTTGATAATCGACCTGCTGTGCGAGTCTCTAAGTTTTATACAATGTCCAATTTATACTTACACCACGCGAGAAGTGGGAGCAGTTAAATCTATACAGCATTTACTTACAACGTCTTTGGTTTACATGTGTATGTAGAAGTTTGAAAGCTTGGTTCTTTGACTTTCGACTGATTCGTGACTTGATGTATTTGTATGTATGACGATCCGCTGGGTGAACATGGCACGACAGGAAGTTCTACTGCATCACTTCCCAGAGAAATTTGCACTTTTGGACAGTTTGAAAGTTCCGTGAATTTATACCTGTAATTACAAATTCACACCTCCACTGAATAATTTTAGGATCATTATCTTAGACATTGAAAACTGTTGTGAGAAATATGCGCAATACGTATGCATAGATTATTACTCAAGTTCTTCTTACATATGTACATATGTTAATTCTTTGACTAAAATGAAGAAACAATTTACTGTTAGATTTACTTATCGTTTTGTGGATAGATTTGGAACATGCACGATTAGATTGTCAATCAAACAGATTGTTTTAAGTAGGCAGTGCAACAAATGTAGCAAAATTATTTCCGTTGCTGGAGGGTACACGCATATACAAACCCTTTGCTCACATGTGATTATATTGCTTAATGCCTACATGAGAATGAATTTGAGGCGACAATCTATATTATGCTATGACATTTTATTACTATATTGAACTTGCAATAACCTAACCAATCCCTACCACGTTGAAGATCATGTGAAGATTGCATTCCGAAAATGTTAATGTACATTCATCAGTAAGATGCACACCTGACTCATTCAGAGAAATTATGGGTGAATTGGAATAACCCGATAATAATTGCCAAAAGCTGTTGATTAGTGTAAATTATATTGAATTAATCTTGATATAAAGGATGGAGTAAAGTTGATGAACAAATAGGGGTGAAAAATAGGAAGAAAGTTTAGACTAGTGCTTACATATGAATAATATACGAGTTTCCAGTTTACGGCACCACAAGTAACCGGGGTGTGGTACGATGTCAGATTGTGTGTGATATGTCCAATCTAAAAACCTAATCCACGATCAATACCAATATATAAGAGCTGTCGCACATAGTCCCGTAAAGTCGAGTCTAGTCAAACAAAATTCTCACACACTCTGCCAGACTTTTCTCTGGATAAAATAGCGTCATGTTCCCCTTCCACATTAAATCTTAAATCTTGAAGAAGGTGGCTTAAGAAATGTTCCAACTTTAGAGTTTGCGAGCAACCCTACACGAGTAGGTAAATGCTGTGCAGAAAGTGTTTGTGGGATTGGATTTGAGCTTATCTGATGTATACGCTTGTTGGTTTGGTTTGTGCAGTAAAAAGTTTAAGACTTGGGTGGCTTGGTCTTGGCTTCCTGCAGATCTTGAGCCAATAGAGAGGAACATTAAACCTTTTCTTGTTGGCGAGTCGGATTTTAGATGTCGAATTTTTATTGCGAATTCCAGGACCTACTTTCTACTTTTCAAATTTGCAAATTCACAAGTCTCAATGGACCTCGGCCAAACCACCTACCAAGTTCAACCCCGGCTGAATCGAGATCGGCCAAGTGCGATATATTCACATAAAATATTCCAATCCCACTACCATCCACTTTCACTCTTGCATTCTAGCCCAACATTTATTTCAACTTGCAACCTTCCAACGCATTTGCTTCCCTCATCTCCTCATGCATGAGATGTACTCAAATTAGAAGTTATGAAGGCCTGATTCTTCCCAAACGTTCTCCACCAAGTTGAAGTTTTTAACTCGAAGAAGAAACTTTATACCAAAAGTCAACATAATGTCATTACATATGTAAGTCTTGATTATCCCCATAAAGGAGTACTTGAGTCTTGAATAAAGAACACCTCGTGCCCATGCACTCGTTGAGAATAATTTGACAAAATAAATCAATCCATTTATTCGAAAAGGTATGAAGGACACTTTTTTATACATATTTTATACTTTTTTTTATAAACCTCATTTGCGTAAAACAACATACATATGTGCATATTATGTTTCACACTTTCATGTCTAAATCCCATCCACCTACATTTTGCATGCAAATGAACCCTATCTCAATTTATTCTTGCCATTCTCAATCGATTTATTTCCAAGCTTGGGCTTCTTTTTCCTTCTGAAAGGTAAAGTATGAAAACGGTATAAAATCAAATTAAATGTGGCAGACATCAAGTCAACAATTCAACATCAACACAATATTCCACTCAACAGCATCGCATCGACTCCTTGCTTGCTGCTTTCTTATCACGGTTTATGTTTTTAGTAGGATATTAGAATTTCTAGAAAACACGTCAAGGGAAGCACACACGAGGATTACTCTTTTTCTTCCATCCTTGAGTTGGTGTCAGGGAATACAAAAAAGTATGTTGAGGCTACAGTTGTATATTTTTGTGTACCACTAAATTCCGAGTGTGCAGTGGAAAGCAAAAGTTAAACATGTTGTAATGAAAGTCTAACTAAAGTGAAATTCGCACTTCACTGTTGCTTTGTATTTACATATTTATTTACTGGAACTGAGTTAGGGAACGGTTACTTTCATCTTGCATTCATGCATTTGTTATGCACGTTGGAACGGTATTGAGTGAAATTGAATTGATGTATTCCTGAATCTGTATGCTATGCTTGGCAGAATGATATAAAAGTGTGTGCAAATATACCAGCACGACCACCACTACACCTTTACCTACTTTTTTCCTCAATGAGAAAGTTGTTCCCTAGGTTTAAGCCAATTCTTCACTTTCTTGGAATAGAATATCGTATTGACTTTCGTCTATTTCTCAAAGATTGACTTCCGAAACGGAACACTAAAAGGCTTTCAGCTTTTTGTGTAACCGGGTCCCGACTCTGGAGTTTTGGTCCCAAAAGTGGGAGAGAGACTCGTCGTCGGAGCACGAAATACTTTCTTAACACGCAGATATTCGGAATTTCTCTTTTCTCCCCTGTCTTCCCTCGGCAACTAAATAAGAAGGTGTGGTATGTTTACCTGTAGCATAATAACAAAGAAAAGTGTCGATAAGAGGGAGAAAGTGAAAATTGACGGAGTGAGTTTAGACAGGACAGAATTTGAATGTCATGCTTGTCTCCAAGTTCAATTCACATCGTTTGGTTGAACCTTATTTCATGTTCATTATTACATCTTATTTTATCATGTCGTCGTTCTGATGTTGTTTATTTTTCTATTGTGATGATGCTGACTTTTACACTTTTATTGTCAGAACAGTAGGTGCACATATGTGTTATAAGATAAAGTGCATGCCTTACTAAGGAATGGTTCTTGGGCCAAGTGTCAGAAACTATGAAGTTGTGCATGGTATGATTGATTTCAGAAAACTGTTGATTGCAATCCTTATAATGCTCCAGCAGACGAGGAAAGTAACAAAAAAGTTGACCGTTTCTCTTATGTACAAGGATACTGACAGAAACATTTTGTGCCTGGATCAACAAATATTGATTTATAGCCAAGCCGGTTAGTTTAATAAGCAATATTGTGATGCATGAAAGTAATAATTTGACAATTCCTAAACGTGAATGTTAATTTGAATTTTAAAATCAATTTTCGGCTGATAAGTTCCATCCGTATGTTATATTAATGCTAGATTACAAATACGCCTAAATTGCAATTTGAAAGATAATCAAATAGTAACATGGGAGAGGTCCTTCGTGAGCCATCTCGCAAAACTAATACAAATAATTATAGAGTCAAATAGAAACTTATTGTTGACTTTTAATTCATCCTAGAATGCAAACTATCATTCCGTATGGGCTCAAGTTCAGAAAAGATAAGCAAAGAAATTTAATTTAGTTTTATAAGATAATTCCGTGCTCGAGTTTTCATTAATTTACCAAAAACTTTAAATCTAGTGAGGAGATCGACAAATATTTATGAAGCGACGACAATTACATAGTACGAAAATTAATATTGCATTCCACTGTAGGCTAACATTTCACTTTTATTGATCTGCAGTCAAACTATGTCGTGGTTAGAAGAATTTGCTTATTTAATTAACCAGCACTATTTTATTGCAATTTATAGATTATCATATTAACATATTTCATGTTTTTAACTATATACATGCAACAAATGGGTTTATAGCGCGTAATTAACCGTAGAAAAGCGAAAGATGGCAATATTTACGTAATAAAATCCAATAATCACCTGAAATTACAAAAACTCGCCTGGCACACAACAGGTCGGGTCAGGTGTATAGCACTACAAATCAGAGTTGTAAAGACCTCTGTAAAATTAAAAAACTCATCCCTTCCTGTAAACCAACGCAACGACGAAGGAAAGACGAGGAGTTTGTGCAAGCAGCGTATGTGACTGGGCAGAGAGAGAACTTGCTGAACCTCTCATGAGACTGCAGTCTTCAGTCTTCGCCAGGAACTGGGAGAGAACAGAGCTCTGTCGTCGTCACTCTTGGTTCGTCATCATCATCATCTCAATTCAAAGGCGCAAGACGCTCTCCGTCTCTTGTTTTCATAACAGATTTCAAATTTTAATCGTCTCAAAATTGTGAGTTGTTTTATATTTTCAAAAGTGAAGTGCAACATCAAATTCGTACAAAAAAAGAACACCACAAATAAAATATATTGTTAGCCAGAGTTTGTTTTGTACACGACTTTCATATTATTGGAGTACAATCAGTATAATTATTATATACCGTTCACATCAAGTCCAAATTAGAACCAAACCCCGAGTTAAAATTGGTTGTACTTATCTTTACAAATAAAGGGAATATCTAGCACATTGTGATTTTCATTGTGTAACAACCCCATTGTACATCATCGCCTATATTCCTTTGTGTTTGACTTCATGATCAGTCCTCGGGCTAATTAAGATTCATTAATACGTGTCTCATTAACTTCCATCACAACACCAGACAATATCGCGTTAGACATCTTGAAGCAGCGTCTCACATTCCACCACGCCACGAAATACCGTCGATGACTGTTCCCTGACTGACTGACGTGCTTCTTTCTCGGCAAAAGAATTTTGATATGTGGTGAGATACACAGAGTGTAAATCTTGTGCATGCATTAAATATTTGGGTACGTTCCCATTGGATAGCCCATCTTGTCTGGGAAATCGTTAAATAATTAGCAGCTCACAAATAATAAAACGAGTAATTACCTTTCTCTCGATCCACCCAAGGAGGGACGGAGAAGATTTATCTCTGGAAATAAAGTCAAGCGATTCAATTGCCTGCCTGGCTGCGATATTGGCTCTTATTATTATTACCCCACTGCACTACTAACTGCATCGCGGAGGAAGCGTTTTAGTAGGAAATCCTCCGCATTTCCCATTACTTGACAAGAAAGACAAAGTGTATCAGAAGCAATAAGAGACTCGGCATATTTCACCACTGGACGACTGACTGGAGAGAAAAGCGACCAAGAAGAGGAGGGCTGAGCAAAATATCCACTGCATCACAGAAGATCTGCATTCGGATGAATATCTCCGCTTTTGGTGGACAAAGAAGGACAAAGTGATTAATAATGTGCCAAATGCGATGAGAAACTCCTCCAGCCAGCCAACCAACGTTTCAAGCCAACTCAATTTTAAGACCTGTATGTACACGTTATTACACATTATATGCAGCAGCAGCCTCGCTACAAATTACAACAGTGCTAAAACTCACATAAAATAGAGCGGAGAAAGAAGGCTTACACTCAACTCGACCGACCCGATTCTCAACTTCCCCGTTTCCTCAATTACAAAAACACACCCTGTACTCGAAGCATTTTGTTTAATCTGGAAACTCATTGGGGAAAATGGAAAGTGTGAACTGAGAGAAAAACTCCAAGTTTGAGAGAGAAGAGCGATAAAAGTGTGAACCATTAAATTACATACGTACCACCACCTTGGCCAAAGTAAGTAAGGTCCATGAGGGAGTGGAATGATTCAATGATTGCTATCAGATCAGAGCAAAAGTAGGCTGTAGAGTACATGAAGTGAATTAAATTAGGTGGGGTTTCCGATTCCTACACACTCAACCTGCCCGATATAACTTATGGAAGTGTAACAAACGTTATTTCATCTCCCAAAGTTCTCACCTAACAATAATTCAATGATCATGCTACATAGTTCACGACGTACAGCACACCCCCGCACAGCAGCTCAAACTTGAGTCTGCTGGACCTGAGGAAAATCTTGTTCAACAGCTAACAAACGCTGCCCTAAATCTATTAACAATTCATCGGGACAATTCATTTTCAAAATTATTTTAAACTTTAGAAAAATTCTAAAAAAGTTTCCCCTCAAAGTATGCACTGTATTATCTTGGGAGTTTAACGAAAGTTTTAAATATTCTTCTCGAGTGAAGCAAAGGAAATTAAAGTCTTTGGTAAAGTGTACACCATTATCCAACTTGTATCAAGTTGCTGACCTGGAAACATTTTTGAAACCAATCGCGATCGAATTGAGCGTTGTTCACTTAAAAACAAGTTCCACTCTGAAAAAAAAAACTTTTAAAGTTTCGCCACCACCAATCTTCGTACTCCTACGCCCTTAACAAAACATTAACAAAACAGGAAGAAACATAAAGTTTTTCCTTGTTCGTGAGTTTTCTACTGTGAATCTGTGAAATATAAACCGCAAGAAAATATACGAGCGCGAGTGGTCCAGTTCCGAGCTGAATTGACTGACTTTTCCCTCCTTGCTTCATCACATTCAACATTATTTTGTGTGCTGTTGCACAAAGCGACCAAGTTTTCTCCATCCATCCACTCACTCACTCACTCATTCACTTCGTACATACGGACGTACATAGCTCGGACTACGTGTTGAGAGGCTGCTGTCCAAGGAAGTGGGGAAAGTTGGGAGCTGTCAGAACACGGCTCAAGTCGAGCGGAGATGAGAAAGGTGGTTGGATGCTTGGCGTAGGGAGAAGAATAACCAACTTTCTTCCCCAACCGACGTCTCGTTTTACAAACAATTACAAAGTTTAACAATTAACTTTACAAACTTTACCTCATCGTATGAGAACATTGAGCAAGAAATTTAAACAAGGATCTCAATTAAACGGAGTCGATTTATTTCAAGGTCTACAAGGGGTAGTTTGGTGGGTGGGTAATCCTTGAATTTGAAAGTTGAGGAGGAGAAACTCCTTAAGACGTGGAACATTATAGTTTTGTGATGAGTTACCTCGTGTAAAATTGACATTTGCTTGTACCACTACCACGACCACTGAATGATAAGTTATTGATAAAGGCAAACACTATAAAAGTGGTTCATCATGACGGGACAAAACAGAATTTCAAATGTGGTATCGGTTACAGCGGGGTTGATATTGTTGCTGACTCTTCGTGCGACGGAATCCTCTAAAATTCGGATGAATGAGAATGGAGGCTATGAAAATATTGTGGTGTCCATTGGCAAAGAAGTTCCCCCGATAGCGTGCCAGCAGCTCATCCAAAATATACAGGTATACATGTCCCATGTCTCTTATCACTTGGCTCCTTTAATCCATCACTTTTCTGCCTAAAGTACATACAACCCTGATCACAGCACCTCCGGATATATGCACATGCATACATATGCCTAATATTTATACGGCTCTAAATACACGGCTGTCTCCAACCGAGACACACGCAGCAACACGAAACAAATGGAAAACACACCAACCTCGCACGGAAAGTAACGCTAATTTAGCTTTCAGGCCAAATTTGATTCAGGAGAACAGGGCATACCATGTAATTAGAGAAAAGAAAGGGTTCATCACAAGATAACGACACACGCGAATATAGTCGTGTTTCCGCTCTTGTTCCTATACGATTTCAGAAATTTAGCGAATGAGCACATGTATTAAATATGTAGGGATATATGGACATTTATAAGAACTGATCGACACGGGAAATAAATGCACCGTGCTGAGTTGTTTATCCTCGTATCATTCATCAATAAAACCAAAGGGTTGAAGACTGCTTTCGTTCACTGAAGAGACAAGTCCGATGAACGACAACAATACAGCTTGGGTCAAGCCAATCCAAAGTTAAAGAAACTGTCAATAAGCAATAATAAGCACACACACACACTTATTTGGAATCAGTTGGGTTTCCAGTCCAGGCTGCATATCAGAAACCCAGCGTGGTTGCCTGAATTATTTTTCATCCAAATGCGTAGCTGCTCAGTCGTTTGGTGATCAGTTTAATCATTCACCCAGTAAGCAGGCTGCATAATGGACAGGTGCCGAACATGCAAGCTCCTTGCTTCCTCCTACCACCTTTCTCCCCACTCCAAATAATGATAGTTCACGCCTATTTCTTGGGCTGTACCAATGTCACTGTTCGATTACGGGTGCTGATTTTGATGATATTCTGATATAATTGAGGTTCAAAATTAAATTGACTACTACTAGTCAATATTTTTTAGTAGTTCAGGGTACCCAATTTTTATTATGTAAGAGATATAAACATGGCTTGATAATTTGTCATTCTAGAGTTTGTACGCAGCTTAGGACAAAATTTAAACAAATAAATTCAAAACTTGTTTTCGCTGGCGCATAATGCACTTTTACACATTTAATTTGAAATACTCGAAATAATGTGTGCAAATAACCCATAATTGTACACATGCATTCCATCCTCTTGCATGAAAAATAAACTATTTATTAAATGTTTTGCTTTCATGCGATCTTTGGTCTACTTTCCAACTTTTATTGTGTCATTCTTTCTCAATTTCTTTGAATGAAGATAAGTCTGAAAAATGGGACACATCTCACCGGATTTGTGGCTTACTTTCACTGAATCTAAGTTCAACTCAAGGCATGCAGTGGTTGGATTGTGGACTGAGGAATGTTCTAAAATATAATGGAGTACCAATAAATTAAGACCTTTTGGGCTGGTGGCTCAGTGGGTGGGATGATGTCTATGTGCTCCCATTCGTCTCTGGTTTCTGGGTAGAAAGCAGATTGGCCAAGAAGTTGGCATTGGACAGCTTGCCATCCTCGTGCTTGTCCTGAAGTTAACGCATTTATTTCAAATGCACACTTTCACCACACAACCACAAGTACTTACTGCTCTCATTTGCCTTAAACACCAAACCACGGATGGGAAACCATGGGTGTTCGAAATTCAATACATAGACATTTACTTTGGAGAAGGACAGGGTCCAATCCACCAACACAACAGCTACTTTCTCCCAAAAATAAGTTTACTGAACTCGGGTGTGTGTACATATACTCTTTTTCGTGGGATCAGATGAAACCACGAGTACAAGTGAGAGAAAGTAGGCAAAGAAAAAAATCAGGCACTTAGAATTGCATTGAGAAACTCGTTGCAAATCTTCTAAATCACTTACAGTGTCGGAAGAAGACGGATATTGACCGACTCGTATTCCATTCAGCCTGCAGAATCTTAAACGCACTCACTTTCACCCTGATGGATATTTTTCCTATATAGTTTTGTGTGTTGGTGTGTTGTGTACATTTCCCTGATCCCTCAATCTTTAATCTATAATACATCTTGAGTTTACATATTGTAAAACTCCAAGCTAATATCAACATTATAGTTTTAGCAATATGAGGAGTATTGAATAACCGGACTTTCTTTCCGTACCTAAGAATGCAACCAAAAACAATATGAGTTTAAAATTTCAAATCTTGGCTTATGTTTTGTCTTCCCATTTTCGCATGGGTTTCCAAAGTGGTTGAATTTCAAATATTGATTATTTATTAATAGAACCAATGCTGTATGATTCGGTCCCTATTAGGCATACATATTTGTGTAAAGTGAAAGCATTCAGATGATAAGAAGGCGCGTAAGAAAAGAACAGTGTAACAAGTAACGAGTGGAGGGAGACCCAGCTGTGGGTTCGCTTAGAGAATTGACGTTAAGTCCCAAATAAGACAGATATGTATTTTATTCCTCTTCCCGATTTGGTTGTTAGCGAAAGAACGGAACAGCCAACAAACCAAAAGATCCGAATCCGATGACGATCTTATTTATACTTTTATTCCATTGGAGCTTTGTGCGCAAATATTTATTGTATGGAATGAGACATGGTTTTATTCCCTCTCTCTCTCCACCCACACCTACTACTAAATGTTCTGTGATGATTGTGCGCCTACGTTATTGTTTACTTTTACTCGATTGTGATACGAATGAATAAAGAATTCGAGTGAATGAACGATTGTCACTGTCACTGGCATTGTGCTCAAACGGAATTCAATTCAATTGGATTTTTTTTGGGGACGGACTTTCCTCTGGGTTTGAGCCTTGGAGCGTTGCTTTGCGGTGATGATGATTGTCAAATCCCCAAATCTTTACTTTACAGATAGACCAAGAACCCTAACCGTTTCTTTCTTTGCAGAGAGAATTACATGATCAATTGAATTCGGAAAAATGTCCCAAAACGGGCTGAATTCTTATTATTTGCTTTGGAATTATTCCGAGAGGAAGAGGGTTGTCCTTATCCCAAGTCGAAGTAAGTGAGATGAAAGTGAAGTAGGCGGTGTTTTTCTCTTCCCTTTGCTGGGGTTTATTGTCCGTTGTTGAGATTTTTGTCAAACATTTGCACCATCGCATCCTTCGTTCGTGGTGGTTATGTTAGAGAGAAGGAGAGCCTTTTTCTGGTCTCAGGTTGTTTGTCGTAAAAATCAAAAGTTTACAACCTTCCACTCCTCCAGTTCCCATTAGCCATGATCTATCTGACCACGATGACATTAGAAATGGGACCATAAAGAATGCCCCCGACTCGTCGCCATAACCAAGAAATGAAAAAGTGTGGTACTAGCTGAACGAGGACTTTGTCTGGGTCAGTACATTAGAATTTTTCAGCTCCAGTAAGGTTATTGCCAAAATGCGGCATGGGACCAAAGTGTACGTACGTTTATTTAAAGTATGGTAAATGGTAAGGCCAATGATTTTACAATCCATAGGTTTTTGAAGGAATACCTCAGCCTTGAGTAGTAATAATAATATGTAGTACACCACACAGCAGCATGAGAGAAAGTACGTGGGACCAGTCAATCCAATCTCCTGTTTGAAGCTGATTTAGTTCAAGACGCAATAATGCCGTATAATGTAATGTTCTGGTAGGAGCAGAAGTATCTAAAAAAGATTTTCACTCGTGTTGCTCGAGTCCTGGGTGTGTGTTGAACCATTACTGCTAATAACGAAAGAGGTTAAGCAATGTCTTTTGAGTCTTTGTATTTGGGCAGTCATTTCTTCCATTTCATTTGGACTGGATGGACTTGGGAGATGGAGATAGACGTGATTCTGGTCACCGCAATTTCAACTCTCATTCCAACCTCGCCTGGTCCAGGGCGATAGTCTTTTCTTTCACAGCTTAAATTGCTCCCGACACTTTTTCTGCAGATGGGTCATTTTTATTACACCAATTTAATATTATGGACAATTTAAGGATGAGAACGTTTTATGGACTCGCAAGCTTACAAGCAAAAAACATGAAATGTGTCTTACAAGTTGTAAATACCACTGCAAAATTAGTCAGGAACAATTCATCACGGACTGAGCGATATGTATTTCCTTCTTGATCGTTAGAATATATTCTGCATGTGGGACTTGATTCAATTTGAAATAACAAGAAAATAGTCGATCCATTGCTGAAAATCTTAGGTTTAATTTTTGTCGTCACCACTGCAATCCAAGAAATCTGGTCTGATAATAACGCGGGATAGTTACGATCTCTGGTGTACCGTGCATGATTGTTCACAAGTAGAATAAGACGTGCTTATTTTTTCGCTGTCGTAGGAAACTGGCTCTGGCACTCAGCGGTCCAGCCCAGACTGGAAAACTTTTATCAGGTTACTTTCGTTCATGTTGCATAACTTGATTGCGTGGTGTACGTGTGCATTACTTGGTTGTGCAGAGCAAGTACAAACTTCTGCCGTTAGTTCGGACCGTGTCAGTCTGGGGTTGGTGATTAAACTTATTATCCTCAGATTCTAGATGTAGATTGTACGGAGTTGAGAGCTATTTTTCGTTGGTGCCAGGAATTATTATTTGCTTATGTGGTTAGCATTCCCCTCGTAGGAAATGGCAAGACACGCCACATCTCCCAACATATCATCATGTAAACCACAATTATCAAGAAGAAAAACGGTGTGCTACGGTTTCTTGTTTCTGTTTGCGTTGCGACCTGCATCTTTTACAAGATTGAGATTGGATGACTTTAAAAACAATGCCGAGACGAACTGACACGACATGCCACAAAACAACAGCAAATAATGAGTAATAAATGTGGTTGATAAGTACTTTTGTTAAACTATAACTAGAAAATGCTTGAAACAGGATGATCCTGATCCCCACCTAGACCCGTGTACAAGGGGTTCAGTGTATCATTACAGAGTTCTACATAATATGTACAACATAATTGACTTGTGCTGTATGATTTTGGGGTGCCATGATACTCAAATAAACGAACACTTTTCCCAATGTTTTGTACGGACTGTATTTGTTCAAC